GTGTGTGTGTGTGTGTGTGTGTGTGTGCGTGTGTGTGTGTGTGTGTGTGTGTGTGTGTGTGTGTTTGTGTGTTTCACCTTGTCTATGGAAGAGTCTGCTGCCCACTATCTCAGTCATGGAGCTCACTTTGTGTTTCTGTAGTTTATCCGGAGGGATACAGGTGTAGAAATCATACAACAGCTTACTGAAACACACACACACACACACACACAGAGAGAGAGAGAGGTCACACATGACACAAGAGTCAGTTATCATTCATTCATTTTCCTTAGTCTTAGTCTCTATCTCAGGGGTTAACACTGTGGAATGAACCGCCAACTATTCCAGCCTATGTTTTACGCAGCGGATGCCCTTCTAGCTGCAACCCAGTACTGGGAAACACCCACACACACACACACACTCATACACTACAGCCAGTTTAGTTCATCAATATAGTGCATGTGTTTGGACTGTGGGGGAAACCAGAGCACCCAAAGGAAACACACAACTCGGACTCGAACCAGACACCTTCTTGCTGTGAGGCTCTAGTGCTAACCATTGAGCCACTGTGCCTCCATATGTTCATTTCAACTTAACTAAAAAGATGCAGTGAAGGATCTTCATGCATAGAGTTAAATAACGTATAAGAATAGAAGGAATGACTGAATGTACACACACACAGGCAGAGAAAGCGAGCTGTGTTTTATTGATCGCGTCTCAGAGAAACCACAGTATGATATCGAGCGAGTCTGAGACAGTATACAGTGATGAAGCACACTTTCAGCTCTAACTGGATAAACCACTCCAAAACACAGTGCTTTTCAGAGCAAGCGGCTCCGTCAACTCATTTAAGCTCACGTGAAATTAAAATAAGGGGCTGCTCTATGTCCCGCCCTCTCTTCATGTTTCTGCTGAGATTACTGCACATTTCAAAGCAAATTAAGCGCATGTTTGTGTCATTTGTTTGAGACTGAGATCCGAATAAGGGCTGTTTATTGGGAAATATTAGAGATATTAATAATTATTATTCCTATTGTGAGACTCACCTGAGGAGTTTAGCATTAAAAACGGTCTCCACATCTTGCAGGACTGTTGGTAAATACTTCAGAGCAGCCACCTACACACATACACACACACACACACACACACACACACACACACACACACATATATATAAGCTTTACTATATTGTATTGCATATTTTATACCTAATATGCTTTACAATTAAATTATACTGTATAAACTCTTGAGTTGTTTAATAGTATTACAATATAAAACATATTTAGAAAATTAATAACCAATAATAAGTTTATGTAATCTGTTATATTGCTCTGCATGCTGTATATTGTATAATGAAAATTATTTACAAAATTATGTACAAGCGATAAGAATATTTTATATGATCAAATTATTAGATTTTACAAATAAATTTATAATATTATTTCTATTATAATATTTTTATATATTATAATATTATTTATATTTATTATAAATTTATAATATTTATAATATAATATATAATAAATAAAAAAAACATACATATATATACATAAATGTTTGTATAATAATAGTTTATATATATTATATATTATATTATAATAGTTATATATATATATTATAAATATTATACACACAATAAACTATTATAATATAATATATAATATACATAAACTATAGTGCATAGATTAAAACATTTTAGAGTATAAAATCCTATTTTCAATGAAAATAATCAACATTTTTGTCTAATAATATGTACATAATTAAATATGTTACAATAATAATTTAAATGCTACAATATGTACATTATTTTAGTATTGCTATTAATAATAAAACACAGTATGTCTGTGTCTTAACGATGTACAGTGCAGTATGTGTGTATCTGACTGACCTGCTGCAGTAGTGTAGTGGTGTAGTCGCTTTTCATCAGGTTATTGATGGACTCGAATAAACTTTTGAGAGATTCTTCAAACTCAGCCTGTTCTTTGCCTTCATAGAGTCTGAAAATAGAGAAACACAAGACATCATGCATATGTTCACACACTTGCTGGATGTTGGACTCATTTCACACCAAACACATAAAACATCTGAAGATTTAACATTTAGATTAACAGAGTGGCTGACGTTGAAATATAAAAGTCACAGCTTTCTTTGAGGACCAAAATATAAATAAATAAATAAATAAATAAATAAATAAATAAATAAATAAATAAATAAATAAATATTTTAATAAAATGAATAAAAATTAAAATAAATAATGTTTGTATTAAAATAAAAACCAATAAAAATATATAAAAAAATATTTGTGAATAAAATAAAAACTATTAAATTAATCAATTAAATTAAAAAATAAATTAACTAAATAAATAAATAAATACATATTTTAAATAAAATACAAAAATAAAAACTAAAAAATATATATTTATATTAAAATAAATAAAAAATTTAAAAAGTAAAAAAATACAAAATATGAAATAAATAATTAAATAAAAAATTATAATTAATTAATAATAATTTAAAATAA